AATTATCATTCTTCAGTTGGCAATCTTCCGCCTGGCTCCGTCAACAAAAGTCGATGAAAAAGATTACTTTGGTCATGCTGGGTTGTGCCAAGAGGGCAACCTAGAGATCGAATTTCAGCCAATGAAGCTGGAAACGGATGAAATTCAATATGTATATGGCCAGCTTAAAGGTGACCCTGTGTCTACAGAGAGGACATTATAACAAAAGGATATGATTTGGAGGAATAATGAATGAATAGGAATAAAACAAGGACCTGGGTGAAAACATTCTTTTACCTTAAACATTTGATCACTCTGCATTAGAAAGGAGAAGCCACTAAATGTGCCTCCTGCCAAATGAAAATACTAAAAGATCCTCTCCCCTGACCACCTATACATACTGTATACTCCCCTGCCATTCCCCACCTCTCGGTTACATCACTTATGGCAGGCAGGGACAGCCCTTCCCATCATTGACATCACTTCTATTGTAACTTACATATTTATATACACAATTTGAGGTGGGATACTACAGGAAGACTACCAAGGGTCACATACAGACCACACCCAAGTTATAAAAATGAAACAACTGAAAATACAATATTATGTTAAAAAAGTAATACAACTGTTCTCCTTCAAGGATGCTTAATGGACATTTTAACAAAACAAAAAATAAGTTACATATATACAGGACAAATCAAAAGTTATAACAACTGAAACATGAAGGGAATGGAAGGGTAGAGGCTACTATTTGTTAATAAAGGGGACCAAAACATATTTTATATTACTAAAAATAAAGTTATTACCTGATAACTCTTTTTCCAGAAATTCTCCAGGTCAGTTTACTTAAGAGATGGCCCACCTGCAGGGAACATAAGACCTAAAGAGTTTACAAGCCCTCCATTAGCTCCGAGCCCTTTAGAGATTAGCAAAATATATTCCTAGAGCGGGACCACTGCCTATAGCGCCTTCCTACCCAAAGCATCCTTCCACTGGAACTAAACCTTTAACCACCATGTTGTAAATAATGACTGAGACTACCATCAGAGACACCCACTTGACAGGTATCAGTTTTGTGATAAGACCATATGCCATATTACTACACAAAGCGCAACGCATGGCGACACTGGCTTGACTGTAAGTGGTCGCTGATGCTACAGATTCTTTATCATTACATGATAATGTCCATATAACCATAACAAATATATCACTGCTAATAATGTGAGGCATGAAACATGTTCTGCAAACAGAACCTTGAAATTATGAGGTTTTGTAAAATGTTTATTGATACCCCATGTGCTGCATGTAAAAAATATACTTATATTCTATATCAGCATTTCTCAGTAATGGCTCCTTTTAAAAGTATGCAAAATCTTGAGGCACCCCAGTCTAAAATGTAAAAAAATGTAAATGTAAAATGTGAGAAAACAGTGTGTGGTCCTCCCCTTCCTCTCAAAATGAATATCAACCCTTATCCTAGACAGGGGTCTGGATGGATTTTAAGGGGAAACCCCTTCAAATTAGCATCCCCCCTTGCACATCAGGAGCCCCCTTCACATTAGAGTCTATCGTGTAGTGAAAAGTTTGAGGCACCCCTGACAAAGCCTGAAGACACCCTGGTTGAGAAAGGATGCTCGATATACTGCATAACAAATGTATGAAGTGTCTGTTTGCAATCCTAGTAGGAACTGAACCCAGGACCCCATTGCTGCAAGGCTGGTAAGCACCAACGGGGTTATTCACTAAGCTGCCGAAGACAGCCGAATGAATAACTGAGCCGAAGTGAACAGTGCCGAACGACGTTCGGCTATTCAATCCGGCTCAAGTCGTAATGTAAAATCAATTATGGATATTCACCTGAAAAGTTATGGGAAATAAGGCAAGTGCAAGAAACTATAGCAGTTAAAGTAACCTAATAAAGCTTAGGAATCAGGAAACAAGAAAAAAAAAAAAAAAAAAGTTAAAAAAAACCCCAAAAGGATGGAGCATGGAATGAAATACTGTACACCTTGATAAATGATATAACCACCACTATCTCAATGTGGAAATAGGGTAACATTAGAAGCTTAAAATGTTACTTGTCCATAGGACATACTGCCAAAGAAAATGTCTGCAGTTAAGGCATAAGACAGGATCTCTGATGAGCCTATGTAGCCATACACAATAGTGAAGGGTAGGATGAAGTCATAACATATCTTGTTATAGTAATAGATATAAAACTTAACAGAAGAAAAAAATGACAGTTAGCAAGTGGATCTTATACACAAAAAAACAGGATAAGGGTGAACAGAAAACTCCCATTTTTCCTGCCAATAAGTCATCCCACTATTTATGTCTTCCAGCAGAGCAGTGTAGAGTGTGCATCAATAGAAGAACATAAAATGGGAAATATATTGTATTTCCTGCATTACCACCAAGGAACTGGCAAGAGAATCCTTGTAAAAGGAACCATGTTCATACTGGATGTGCAACAACCATATTGACCTTGGAACATACTCCTCCAGGGCACCTGGGGTGAAATTCCCTGAGGGGAATGCACCCAGGGCAGTCAGACTACCACACTCCCAGGGGATTCCATCAGGAAAAACCAGCATACACAAAACCTGGACCTGTAGGTATGCAGAGGGAAGCACTATTGCAGCAGAACACCTTCAAAAGGGGACTAAAATACATTCAAGAAAGAAAACACACAAACACACCTCATCACTGCTGTGCTAGTGCCCGGTTCCTAAAAAAACCCCCCACATCAGTTATGGCTTCAACACTGATAGATTTCAGTTAAATGTCTGCATCCGGGTAGCACCACCACATTCCAGTGCGGTGTATGTTCTTCTCATTTTTCAGTAATAACGCGTTGGGTTATGATCCCCCAAATTGCATTAAAATGTTTTGCTGGAAAAACCGCTCCCCGATGCTACAAGTGATGCACGGGCACTCACCACATTACGTTCAGGACACTAGCCGGCTCTCTCCTTATCCTGGCCCATGATGCACAAGAACAGCCTCAGTCTGCCAGAACCTTGAGCCTGAAGGTCTCGGTGAGAAGGGGAGATTAGTTGCAGTTCATGGGGGAGGTTTTCAGTTCTGCCATTGGATAGCCCTTAAAGTTGCTATAAATAAAAGTCAGGAAGGGTGTACGCTGTGCAGCCCATCACCAAACACCCTACCCATGCCCCTCCACCTTCAACATGCAAGTTCAACAGACCTGCTCACATGGTTGTTGGCTATAGTGGGGAGGGGGTCAGGGGTGCTAGTCTTTACCAGCTCTACAAAGACCACATGGGGGAACAAACAGCCAAATATAGTGTATTCAGGAGGCAGGAAACACAAGAAATGTGGAGTTTTTTGCAGATGTGCAAAGCCCTCTGTCAAGTAACCCATCCTAGAAGATGACATGAAGAAAAAAAAAAAAAAACACACACCACACCTGCTTCAACGAAAGAAAAAAAAAAAAAAACACACAACACACATGCTTCAAAGTATTGACTTTCTGTATGAATTTTTCAAATTTCTGCACAGCATTAACCCTGAAAAAAATGTAGAATATTAAACTGGCTCAAAACCTGGAGTAAACAGGAGTAAGAAGGTCACATGCAGCTCAAACAAGCATTTCTTCCCTACACAGATTTCTACATGCAAACTATTATTCATACTGTACACACATTCTTTGGACTGGAATAAATGAATGCACACGTGTTAAATATTTAATGCTGTTTTAATTTTTTTAAATATTAAAACTGAGGAAGCAACTCATATACAGGGAGGGATATAAAAATCGATGAATTCATTTACATAGTAAAAATTTCACAAAATATAAATCCGAGTTGTGGGGAATTCAAATGTTTACACATTGCTGAATTTAACAATTCAAAGCTGGTACCCCTACCTGTAAGCTAATCTATATAGCCGGCCTTTAACAAAAAGTTTTAAAAAAACAAGTCATGGAAAAGGTTTTACTTAAGATTCCTTCTGTTTATGTACCCAATACCCATGGGTGACACTGGACTGTATTCTGAAATGTGTACGAGTTCTGTTTTTTTATATCTATTTTCCCAGTAAGGTAGGTATATCAATTTTACAGAGTGACCAAAATGTTATGTTTACTCTGAATTCCATCACTGGCCAATTAGACCAAAATATCTTAAGAAGATGAACCCTTAAATATGAAATGCCACCATTAGGACTATGGTTAGTTGAAAGGGTCTCTTTTAGCTTACACTTGGCTCTGAACTTATCAAGGACGGTGATGGAAAAAACTGCAGGTGTTTTACTCCCACGCAGATGATATGAAAAGGTGGGTAGAGGAACCTGTGCAAACTTTTCAGATAAGCTACTATTCCATAGTACAATTTCAAGAATGATATACAACCAAGCAGTTATGTGACTACCCACGTCTAAACAGAACAGATCTCCACAATATTTTACATAAAATATGCTTCTACCAATAAAGGAAACACTTAAAACGTCATTAAACAACGTTACATGGACTGAAGGAGCAACTTAAGTACAGTTCATTAAAGAAGCTGTTTGGATGGCACCGATTGGATTTTCGTTACGTTCAACGTATAACAATACTTTATTTTGCAATATAGTCTTTATATTAAAAAATAGAGGCTTGGATATGTAGATAAATAATAACCAGTTTGTCGGAGTCAGACAACACAGACAGATATTTAAAACGGTTCATCTTCAAATTCTGGGCTTGGATTCCAGAAGAGGGTGGGATCAGTGAGGGGTGAAGTAGCACAGGGTTGGTCCAAGTGGACATTGAGGAGCTGAGGGAAAAGTTCACTTGTAAAGGAGTCCTCCCAGGCCTGGGCACAGTTCAAAGGAGAGGACATGTCACTGAAGGGGGATGAGCACCCCTCATAACCAGAGTCACTGCCTCCATCCAGCAGATTTCCTGGTTTTTCCATGTTGTTTTCTGAACCGGACAATAAGCCAAGGACAGGGGTGGGCTCTTCTTCTTGGGACTCTTCCTTCACAGAGATAGGGGAAACACAAGAAGTATTGAAAGCTGCTTCCTCGGTTTTAATAACTACACTGGACTCAATTTCAAGCTCTGCATCTTGCTCTGAGCACAGGGGCTTTGTGTAGACGTGGTCAAATCGGATCAGTTCATTAATGGTTTCCAGCTTGATTGGTGTGGTCCCCACAGGAGAAGATGGGGCGGTGGGTATGGAATCTGCTTCATCGCTAACCTCTTGCTGCTGGTTCCAGGACAGTTCTCCTTGGAAGCCAAGTAATATCTCCGAGTCCAGGCTTTCCAATAGGCCAAGCAAGATATCAGACTGCAAGATATAAAATGGTAAAGCCTGCTTAACACCTGTCTAAAACTGATAATATGGATATACTGTACATAACAAAAAGACACAGAACCACATTTAAAAAAACTGCTGCTTAGCACATTAATAAAAAACGATCATAGAAAACTTTCACTGCTGAGACCATGTTTAAACAATTCTATATAAAATAACTATTGTTCTAAAAATGAACAAACATTTCAGGACAACCTAGACTTTGTTAAGGTCACCTTGTATGTTTTATTTGGCATGACCTCCATATTCCACCATTTGCATCATTATATGGTATTTGTAAAAGGTCATCCAATTGTTAAAAATGTGAGGATTTCAATGTCTTATTGTTTGAAGTCTCTGTTGATTTAACAGTCTGTTTGCTGTTCTTACTTCACTAAATCCTGGTGCATCCTGTCACCAAACTAAGCAGCTGACTGTAGAGTGGAGCTCAGCTGGAGGACGTCAATAGCTGTGGGGTTCTAATGCATACTAATGGTCTCATGACTAAATGTAAGACACTGCAATCACACCCAACACAAACAGATGAATCTGTATGGGGGATCCATATATCCACAGTATTTCTCTAAAACAGGAATTACATTTTATAAACCATAGGGTGGCTCCAAACTTCCATTAAGTGACTATCTCCTGAATAATGACAGTCGAATGAATGCAATCCCACTGAGGAGGTGGAATTTAGGGATGTTAAAAATTGTGTAGTGGAGAATAAAAGGAGGTATTCTTTGACCAAAGACCTGTGTGTGAGAAACAGGTTAGAAGTCTCTGTTCATCTACCTGTGCAACGGATTTTACAGATCAATTAAGAAGCTGCTTTTGGAATACATCAGTGTGCCACTATCCATTTTTCTGTAACGTGAATGACATTTCCCATCCCACCGCACAGTAAACCTCATGAAACAAGCTATTATATGCTCATTGCTACATGTGGATTTTCAGTGACAACAGTACGAATTTCTTACAAGCCTTTTATGTGGCATTGTGGTTAGACAAGAGATTCAAAGTAGGACATAAACAGTTTAGTGCAAGCAGCTTTAAGCTCTGGTAATTTACCCAATATAAAAAAATCAGAGTGACACTGAGTTACTAAAGAAGTGCAGCTTGTTCCATTTCAAAGTCAGTGATTTTTTTTTTTAATCTAAACTAAAGTTAGCCATACACCTTTACTTTTCTCTTGTTCAACTCTACAAAAGGGCTACACAAGAGAAATCAATTGATTTCACACGTAAATGCTAACCAGCATAGAGAACACAATCTACACTGCCAGCTATTTTATTCAGCAGCCAGTGGGACCAGCAGCCGATGATGAATACCTGAACAGTGAATGCATCTGACTGGACGCAGTCACTGTTTGGGTGACAATTTTCAACACTGCTCCTTCAACAAAAGTTGATTTTTCTATCTTCTTTTGTCAAGCTAGTTGGTGCAGACTAGGCCGCCCACAGCTTGAGGCTATGTTAATACCATGTCCAGACCGGATCTGGAGCAGATCTGCAAACGCACTGCATGTTGTTTAAATAGCTTAAAATGGGCTTTCAGGTGCAGTCCATTGCATTTGCATGCATTTTCATCCATCCCAGACCAGAGAAAAATGAGACAAGCAGTATTTTCTTTCGTCTGGACCGGAATGGACTATGTTGGTGTGAACAGAACCCAGAAATACCATAGGGATACATTAGGATGCTTTTTTAGTTCTGGTCTAGACATGATACGGACATGGTGTGAACGAGCCCTGAATTTCATTCGATTCAGTTTATGGCCAGCTTAAGTTAATTTTCTCTTTGCAAAGGGAATGATGTGAAGTTGTGCTGACTTTAATTATGTGCAAGTAAAAATCTGTTTCCTAGCACACGACTGGGTATTCTTTGAAATCTTAATTTTCACTTTGCTTAACCTTCTATGATAGTAATAATGAAAATCCATTTTGAAAATGACCATGCTCTACTCAACTCAGCAAATCAGGGTCACCATCTCTTACAGGAAAAAAAAAATCTGCAGTAAGAAGTTTTAGTCAGACATGCTCAATACCATGTCTTTGAGCAGTGTATTACAGAAAAGTGTGGCAGTTGTCTAACAAAAAGAAGATACTTTGCTCTGCTATAAGAAATGTATATTTTAATTAAAAGGGGAAGCTGCAGCCTTCATGGCCATTACATGGACAATTATTAGATATTTTCCAACTGCTGACCTATCTGCCACTGTCCAGTACACAGTCCTGACAATCTATAGAGACGATATAAACATCTAGAGAAAAGAATGTGGCTGCTTACCTCACTGTCTGAAGAACCAGGGCTGTCAGGATCCATGCAGATGTTGTCAAGTTCGGGGACATCTGGGCCTGCTCCTGCTGCAGAGGGGCACGTAGTCTGAGTGCTGCGGACTCAGCGGACCCGATCACCGGACTGACTTCATCTTCTCTGGACTGAACCTACAAAAAAGAAAATACAAAGATTAGAAGAGGCAACAATGGCAGCAAAGTAGATATCAAATAACTTTCATAACAAAAAAAAAGGGAGTACTAAATAGATATTAAGTGTGCCATTTCTAGGCTTGCAGTTACCATGAACGTGAAATGCATTGCTGTTGTGTAATATGCGCCTCCAGAAGCATAACAAATAGCTTCCCATAGAAAAAAGGGGGTGGTCTGTTGTACGCAGTAAGCATAACACTGCGTTAGAACGCTTTCTGTAAATTCAGAACGTCCAAGACATTTCATTTACAAGCGTCTGGGTGAAACATCCAAACAAACAGCAACAGTTACTTGTTAGCCCTCTGCCATGAAAAAGGCCTGAACGGGGTAACAATAGAAGCATCAAGAAACTCAATGCTGTAGCAAAATGCTACATAAACCATGACATGCATTTCATGGAACAGGACTTCCTCACACCCTCTATTCTATTCATAACCTGTGAACAAATAAACATTAAACTACTTCCTGCAAAGACAAGGAAATATGAGCATTTCATGCTCGCAAACTGTGTTATGGGAAGAAATGAGCAAATTAAATAAGTTATGACCTACAGCCTGTTCCCAAGTCATCTGATAAAATGTATTCCTTCCTCAATCAACCATACCACTGTAGTTCATAAAACTCAAATAAAAAAGGTTTTGATGTCCTGAAACAAGTACACGATTTACTTTGCCAGTAACTATGGAACAAGAAATTATATATATATATATATATATAAAAATAGGTCTCTTCCAAGTTCATTTCAGAAAGCTGATCTAGAGAACGTTCAGAATTCTGTAGCGCAACTCTAAAGCTTTATTATAATCAGATTATGACAAGATTTTCAAACCTAGCAACATTCCTACAGCTCTAAAAAGGGATTAAAGTATCGGAGTACACGAGCTAGCTATTAAACCATCAGAATTCTTCTGGTATCAGCCTGGCTTCCATAAAATTGAATTATGTGTGTACCTCCAACTCTAGATCCAACACTTACTGCCCAAGTTCACTCTTTCCTGGCTTTTTTTTTTTCTTAGCTCTGATTTTGGATAAGCTTGTATGTGCATCATTTCTCCCCTAATGTAAAGTTTATTTTTGCTGGCCCAGTTTAATAGGTCATCCTGTTATGAGAATTACCTGGATTTCTTCTTCCTCTTTCACATCAAGGGCATCAAGGCCCAATCTCTGACGTAGTTCTTGGTTTTCAGTTATCAAACCATGGGATTTTTCTCGTAATAGTTTATTTTCGATCAGGAGCTTCTCATTCTGGAAGAGGAACAATGTATTAACATTAAGCATGGGGAACATATTAAAGCAGCTATGTAGAAATGTAGTTTCCGTTAAACTTTCAAAAAGTAGTAGTAATATTTAATTGGCAAGAATTAAGGTTTGTAACAAACTGAAAACTGCTAAAAGGAAAGTATGATGACCGCACCAGACTAAAAACAGGCTTTACCAATATGAACACAACACTGTATGGCCATAGAACAAAAAGGGGGATATTGACTTCTAAAAGTACAATCCCTCTGTTAGACAGCAGGCTTCTTGGTGAAGAGGAAGCACAGCTGATCAACAGGAGGAGAGGAAGACCTCACGGCAGAGAAAATGTGGTTTGCCTTGGGGAAGAGAGTGTTGACAGACAGGTTTTTCCTGCCTGACTGATTATTGAAACTAGCTGATCCTTTACTACAGGGATCAGAAGTCAGAAATAGAAAACAATTTATAGAAGCCCCCCATGGTGCATTGCAGGTGCATAAGGGGTGTGACATAGCTACAGGGCAATACTAATGTACTGTACTGGTGTAAAGGTGTGACCGGAAAGCAGTAAATAGACATTACACACCTGCTATACAGGGCTACTATATTCAGGGTGTGAGCTGTGCATATTAAAAGAAAGACATTTACATTTCTAGCAAACCGAACAGATCGACACTAGACACAAAGTTATTTTTGGGTTAAAGTGAAAAGAATGTAACATTCCTCGCTACTAGACGATAAAGCTTCCATGGTGTAAGGAGAAATACGCAAGACTGCGGACTATACCTCCAACTCTAGATCCAACACTTGCTGCTCAAGTTCACCCATTCTGGCTTTTTTTCTGTCTCGTGCCGTTTGTGCGGCTACTCTGTTTTTTAATTTCCTGTTACA